AGTCCTTGTAAAAGGATGTCATGCCTGGTAAAGTAGAGGGTCAGTGAGAAAGAGGAAGACCCTCAACGAGATAGATGGATGGACACGATGGCTGCAATGATGGGCTCAAGTATAGCAACAACTGTAAGAAAGGCACAGGACTGGGCAGTGTTTTGTTCTGTTGTCCACAGGGCCGTTAGCAGTAAGAATCAACTTGAGGGCACCTAACAACAACGTTTACTCTCTTATTTTCCATATGAACAGTGTTGCAATGAATTATCCACAAAGCTATTTTTTTATATTTAAAATTATTTTCTTAGTATACAGTATCAAAAGTGTGTCTTAGGATAGATTTTGATACATATTGTTAAAGACTCTGGAGATTTTACAGCAAAAAAAAAAAAAAAAAAATGCCTGCAGACAAATTATCAATCTTTACCTTGATCATATCTTGAACAAATGATACGACAAGTAATAGAAGTTATTTGACATTACTGAGAAATTAAGTTTTTCATATATTACATTTTAAGTAACTAAAGCTTACTATGTTAATCGATAAAGTTTTATTTGCACAGCTGGTTTTAATTGTAGTCTCTGCTAAGGATGTTATATACTTCCTGACCTCACCAAGGAGTCCCTAGATGGCATAAATGGTTAAGTGCTTGATGACTTATGGAAAGGTTGGTGGGTCAAACCCACCCAGAGATGTTGTTGTTATGTGCCATGGAGTTGGACCCGATTCATAGTGACCGCTCCTTGGGTTTCCGAGGCAGTATCTCTACAGAAGTAGATTGCCCAACTTTCCTTCTGAGGAATGGCTGGTGGGTTTGAACCACCAGCCTTCTGGTTAGCAGTCAAGTGCCTTAGGCACTATGCTACCAGAACCCAGAGATGGCTCAGCAGAATGGCTTGACAATCTGCTTCTGAAAGCCTTGTGAAAACCTGGTGGAGTGCAGTTTGGGTCACCATCGGTTGGAGTCAATTTGATAGCAACTAGATTGGTTTATAGCATAGTGGCTAAAGCACTTGACTGCTAACCAGAAGGCTGGTGGTTCAAACCCACCAGCCACTCCTTGGAAGGAAGGTTGGGCAATCCTACTTCTGTAGTGATACTGCCTTGGAAACCCAAGGAGGGGTCGCTATGAGTCGGAGGTGACTCGACGACATATAACAACAACAGATTGGTTTTTACCTCATCAGATTGCAATACCTCAGGGTCTGCTGAGATGATTGGTCTATCTTGCCCCTCACTGTATTGTGTTTTCCTAATTGATGGCACTTTCCTGTTTCTCCAGAACTGCCCAGTAGTTAGTTTTCCCAGTCAGCTGACAGAAACTCTTCCCTCCTTAACCCTTTCCATACCCTAGTCTGAAAAGAAAGAACAATTGAATGTTGCTATTGGGAGCTCTGTTGGTGTAGTGACTAAGGCATTTGACTGCTAACCAGAAGGGTGGCTGTTCAAACCTACCAGCCACTCCCCGGAAGGAAGATTGGGCAATTTACTTCCATAGAGATACCACCTTGGAAACCCAAGGTGGGGTCACTATGAGTTGGATTCGACTCCATGGCAGTGAAGGTTTTTTTTTTTTTTAATTGTTGTAAACAGGTGCCGGTGCCATTGAGTCTTTTTGACTCATAGTGACCTTATGTACAACAGAACGAAATGCTGCCTGATCCTGTACCATCCTCAGCAGTCTTTGTATGCATGAGCCCACATTGTAGCCACTGTGCCCATCCATCTAGTTGAAGGTCTTTCCTTTTTTTGTTGATCCTCTAGTTTACCAAACATGGTATCATTCTCCAGAGACTAGTCCCTTCTGACAACATGACCAAAGTAGAAGAGATAAAGGCTGGCCATTCTTGCTTCCAAGGAGCTTTCAGTCTGTACTTCTTCCAAGGCAGATTTGTTTCTTCTTTTGGCAGGCCATGGTATTTTCAATATTCTTTGCTGATACCACAATTAAATTGAATGAATTCTTCTGTTGTCTCCCTTATTCACTGTCCAGCTTTCACATGCATGTAAGGCTACTGAAAAGACCATGGCTTGGGTAAAGTGCACCTTAGTCTTCAAAGAGGTCTTTTGCACTAAATTTTCCCAGTGCAATACATTGTCTGATTTCTTGACTGCTGCTTTCATAGATACTAATTGTGGATCCAAGTAAAATGAAATCCCTAACAACTTCAATATTTCCTCCATTTATCATGATGTTGCTTATTGGTGCAGTTGTGAGAATTTTTGTTTTCTTTATGCTGAAGTGTAATACATACTGATCTTCAAGTGCTTCAAGTCTTCTTCACTTTCAGCAAGCAAGATTGTGTCATTTGCATATTGAAGGTTGTTGATGAGTCTTCCTCCAATCCTGATGCCACCTACTTCTTCTTTTAGTCCAGCTTCTTGGACTATTTGCTCAGCATATAGATTGAGTAAGTCTGGTGAAAGGATACAACATACAAAAGGTGGCTCAAGAAGACAAAATAAATAAAATATTATAATGAAATGTGCAGATACCTGGAGTTAGAAAACAAAAAGGGAAGAACATGCTCAGCATTTCTCAAGCTGAAAGAACTAAAGAAAATATTCAGGCCTTAAATTGCAATATTGATGGAATCTATGGGCAAAATATTGAGCAATGCAGGAAGCATCAAAAGAAGATGGAAAGACTACACAGAGTCACTGTACCAAAAAGAATTGGTCAATGTTAAACCATTTTAGGAGGTAGTATATGATGAAGAGTCAATGGTATAGAAGAAAGAAGTCCAAGCTGCAATGAAGAAATTGGAGAAAAAAAGACAAAAAACAAGGCTGCAGGAATTGATGGAATACCTACCCATTGAGATGTTTCAACTAACAGACGCGGCTCTGGAGGTGCTCACTCATTTATGCCAAGAAATTTGGAAGACAGCTACCTGGCCCGCTTCCTGTAGGAAGAGATCAATATTTGTGCCTATTCCAAAGAAAGGTGATCCAACAGAATGAGGAAATTATAGAACCGTATCATTAATACCACACGCAAGTAAAATTTTGCTAAAGATAATTCAAAAGTAGTTGCAGCAGTATATTGACAGGGAACTGCCAAAAATTCCAGCCAGATTCAGAAGAGGACATGGAATGAGGGATATTGTTGCTGATGTCAGATGAATCTTGGCTGAAAGCAAAGAATGCCAAAAAGATGTTTGCCTGTGTTTTATTGACTATCCAAAGGCATTCGACTGTGTGGATGCTAACAAATTATGGATAACATTGCAAAGAATGTTCCATTTCAGGACTTAATTGTGATCAATTAAGGGACCTGTACACAGACCAAGAGGCAGTTATTTGAACAGAACAAGAGGATACTTCATCAGGAAAGTGGGCATCATGGTTGTATCCTTTCACCATATTTATTCAATCATTTGTGTACAAAGCTTAAAGTAAGCATTGTCATAGGAAAGCACCCTCTACTTTGAAGTAAAGTCCTTAGACTTGTGACAGTTATATTTTTCAACTCTCCAGGGCATTTTGTGGACCACTGGAGGCTTCCAGAAGTTCCAGTGCTGGATATGTGGGACATTATAACAGCATACTTTAAGAGAGATTTCTGGGATAATTGTCCTTCATTTAGGAGTTTTATTTTGTTTTTCAGGATCTCCAGGAAAATAGATTCCTCAGTTTTTCTTAATAATTTACATTTTAAGAAATTTCATATTTATGTAGAATTCTAAAGTCCCTTTGATGAATTTTTATACCCATTTATTCTCAGTCAGCCCAACTGCTTCCCCTCTTTTGTACATCAATGTTGATGTATATTATTTTTTATTCAAAAATGTGGAACCAATCTCCCTTAAAATAATCCTTGTGCAGGGTAGCTTCCAGAAACAGAGACAATGTGCTGTATTCTGTAATGTGCATACAAAATAAGCTAATGGCAAATCACAGAACCATTTGCAAACCAGATAATCTGAGCTTTTATACTGAACAATTTGTACTACACAATAAGAATTGATTGCTAGGTTTTTTTTTTTAAATAAATAGCAGATTTACAGCAAAAATTAACTGCAGAGAAATGATGAGAAGTAGTTCAATATTTGTCTTTTCAAATATTGCTCCAATGCCATTTGGAGAGGACAGAATCCTTTGGCTGAGAAAGCAAATGTGTAGAAAAGTGGGTGTGAAAATAAGTTACATTTTGCATTATATGCATTTAATTCATAATAGAATAATAGCTTTATAAATAAAAGCAAATGTCATTTTTTTTTCCCAAATAGGGCAATCTAGCACATACTATCCATATTTTCCCCATCTTAATATTAGAGAAAGGAGCTTTGGTAGTGTAGTGGTTGAAGCATTTGGCTCCTAACCAAAGGGTCAGCAGTTCAAACCCACCAGCCTTTCTACTGGAGAAAGATGTGAGAAATTGCTTCTGTAAAGACTTACAGCCTTAAAAACCCTGCGAGGCAGTTATATTCTGTCCTATAGGGTCATATGCATTGCAATTGACTCTATGGCAGTAGCTTGGGTTTTACTATTAGGGATGACTCTCTGGGTGGTGCAATGGTTAACACACTTGGCTGCTAACCAAAAGGTTGGAGGTTCAAATCCAGGGGCCTCAGGAGAAATGTCTGATGATTTATTTCTGAAAAATCACCACTGACACTCTATGGAGCACATTTCCACTCTGACACATATGGGGCCACCTTGAGTTGGAATTGACTGGATGACAACTGGCAGTGTTAGAGATATTTATTTGAAAGTTTAGATTCATTTGACTGCAGTGAGTCTCAGCAAATAGCTATACTTATTTAAATGTATTACTCATTATTTTAAAGTTATAAAAGGAAAAGGAGGGCATGAGGAAGGGTTCCTGAAACCAGAGGCAATATCTTTTCTTCCCCTTTCCATGACATATAAAATGGCACTTATCTGGCCTCAAGCCACCCTCTGCAGACTGCAAGGAGAGGCGCGGGGCCTGGAAGGCAGAGAGGCCAGTGGCCCGCTTCACAAGTCCCCCACAGCTCTGCACAGGCCTTTGCACTCCCACTGCTTAGCTATAGCAGGTAGCGTATTTGTTTTCTTGCTCAACAATTTCATTTTTAATGGCAATGACTTGATCTTCCAGCTGTTTCAGTTGATCAGCTTTTTCTTGTTTACTTAAATTCAAATCTTGAATTTTCTTTTCTAAATCTGAAAGAAGAAAATGGAAGAAATGAGATTATTTCCTGTTTCACAGATTCCCCGTGGATTCTCATGTTATACGAACAGGGATTTGTGTGTCTTATAAAGAAGTTTATTTTTGTGGTTTGGTTCAGTGGATAAAACATTTATTTTCACTGGAGATTTTTGTGAAGTTTTCATAGAAATCAGAGCAGACAAATTGCCCTTTTTGTGTAAAATGTTTCATATCTAAAGATATTTATCAATATGAGTCTGTTGTTAGTTAGAATTGATTAGAAATGAAAAGAAAGATGATGAGCCTTGATTAGTTCTGGTGAAGTACTGTATTTCCAAAAGTTTATTCTTGCTCTTTTAACTTCATTTTTTTTTAACATATGTTCATAACTTTAGAGTTTCCCATTCTTTCCATAAAAAGGACTAATGTTTTCATTTCTTCAGTCTCCTTTACTAACATTGAAGACCCTACGCATAAAAACCAAGCGATGCCTTCCTTGGCTTCACTCATATCCACCCATCCATCTGCCCATCCATCTGCCCATCCATCCATCCATCCCTCCATCCATGCATTCACTTCTTCATTCTTCATTGTACAGACATCTGGGAATTTGAATAAACCTTAGCAAGAGCAAAGGATAGAAGAAGTATCGGGGGCTATAAGTAACAGTGAGAGGTGGCCTTTAAGAAAAAATTCTGACCTTTGGCTAAAGTGGAGCATTTAGAAAAAAGAAGGTGAAATGCTCCACTTCACTTGGTTAGATCACACCTGAATACTGGGTTTGGTTTATTTAGGGTAATTGTCCAACTGGATATGCTTAGAGGAAAGAGCCAGACTGATGGAGAAATTAGAAATTGTTCTGTAAGCAAATGTTGAATTAACTGGTGATGGTTCAGATGGGGAAAGGAAGATTCTGGGCATGCACCAACTCTTCTCGAGTATTTGAAGGGCCAGCTTAGAAAGCAGCGCAGGTACGTCTCTGTCATCTTGAAGAAATAGAAGGAAACCAGTGGATGAAAGCTTCATGAAGGAAGATTTTGTCTGAAGAACTTTCTAAGAGTTACAGTTGTTCAAAGTGGAAGTGGCTGCAGTAGAAGGGGGTGGGATTTTTGTCACTAGAAACTTTCCAGTATAGATTATTTGGAATTGAAAAGGAGATTAATCGCTGGAAGTGCATTGGGACTTTAACCCTTGTGTTTCTACCAGAGAAGTTGCTGTGACGGTGTTGGTTACTTCCCATTTGTCCCACCGGGTCCAGTCTTCATCCTATTCTACATCCTGGAAAGCCAACCATGACATCATCTGGGCTCTCTTGCCTTCTAGTTTTCCTTTACATTTGTCCAATGGATTGTGCTGACAAGGACCAGAGAGTGGAAGAGTGAGAAGTCACCATGCCTGGTTTTGGCTGTTATTACCTCTCTCAACTCCAGCTCCTGCAGAGTGGCCTCCTTCCTAATGCTGGAATTTTTACAGGGCTCTGGTAACACTGCTGCTTCCCCATATTACTTCAGTCCTAGGAAAGGGAATGGCTTCTCCCTGCTGCTAGTCATCCAGTGCCTGCTTCCCTTAACTCTGCTGGTAGATTAAAAATGGTCACACTTTTGTTCTAGTTCCTCCCATCAAGAAGCAGAGTCTATTTATTTATCTTTTCCCCCCAAACCTGGACTGCCGAAAGTGGTGGCCATATTGCAGGACCTCAAGGGACTTGCAGCTTCTGCTTTTCTTCTCATAGGACACTGAAACAACTAGGCTGTAAAGGAGCCTGAATGAAAGACCATGTAGAGAGAGGCCCAGAGACCCAGCCCAGCCATTTGTCTAACCCAGGTGAGACCTGCAGAGAACCTAATAGACAACTCACAGAACCATGAAAAATAGCTGTTGTTTTAAGGCATTAAGTTTTGAGGTGGTTTGTTACAGAGTAAATAAATATCTGAGACAATTCTGTTTATAAATACATTATATTTATCTATGCCCAAGTATGCCTTGCATTTCTTGTGACCCTGACTGACCCCAACAGAACCCTGGCCGTAGTTTGGGGCCCATTCTTCACTCTCTTTGGTGCTGCCAAGGGATTCTTTACTGGGATTCCATGCGTATCTTTTTCTAACAAACAAGACCATAGCCCAGTGACAGAAAAGTAGAGAAGACAGACAAATCAGCATCTCGTTTTTCTATTTTGTTGAATGGAGAAAATGCCCTTAAAGTGGGAAAAGATTAAAAAAAAAAAAAGGAATGGAATGCTTGCAACCTCTCTGAGAAGTCCCCCAGCTTAAACTTCTCTCCAACCTAACTGCAAGAATGATAGAAATTTTTGTCAATGGGATATGTGGAAACAGTTTGGACCCTGTGGTAGTTAAGGTTATATATCAGGTTGGGTGGGCCTGGTTTTGGCGGCTGGGCAGTGGATGTAGTTATTCCCTATGATGAGACAGCAATCAGCTCCATGGTGGAATCTGCCATGAGCAGCTGAGTAGCTGCCGTAGAATGTGCTCTGCTTCCTGTGCACAAGGAGAAGCTTTGGGAATGGTCTGGGGCTTTTGGCACGCTTGAATCCTGCATGTAGCTGAGTTGTTACTCATCAGCCTGCCATGTTGTCTGCTGATCTTGGGACTCTTAATGGACTTGAATCAATAGCCAGTTGTGTGGTTTGGTAATATTGGGACTGTGCCTTTTTACTTGTCAACCTTGGGTTTGTCAGCCTCAGCAGCCAGCAGCTGTCTGAGTAAAGAAAAGCCTCCAGCTTCAGTGGGCTGGGAGCAGGAGGGAGAGCTGAAGCCCAAGGTTGAGAGGCTTCCACCCAGCCCCTAGAGCTGGCACTTTGAACTCAGACTTCTAGCCTCCAAAACTGTAAAGAGAATAAAATCCCTGTTTGTTAAAGCCATCTCGTTTGTGATATATTCCTGTCAGAGCAGCATAAAAGTAACCGAAACAGACCCTGATGTGAAACATAAGACAGAAACATTCTCCCCTATGTTTGCTTCTTCAGTATGGACCAAAGACTGGGAATAATAAACTGGTTTTCATAATATAGCCTAAGGAGTATAAAATATATTCTCTGATTTTCTTACTGAATCTTGTCAGGTATTTCCTTTCAAAAATTATTGGAAAAGTACTGGGAAAAAAAATATTACTCACAAACCCATTACTTTAAAAATAATTAAATAAAAGTAAAATGTGGAGGTTTTTCTCCTCCCGCCCTCTGAGAGATCATGAGATATCATTCCTGAGTTTAGTATGTCCTTTTCCTGACCTTGGCCCACACTTACGTTGCATTTTCTTTTTTTTTTTTCATGTCATAGTGATGACCTAAGTGGTTGTAAGGCCAGAGACTCATTTTATAACAAGGGAGCATTTAGAAGCGAATAATTTGGGTATTTTAATATTTTGAGAGTTACTCATATTCCAAATGAATATACTTAATTTTAAAGTTTTTGGAGACAATAAATATAATGAAAAGTAAAACTATATCATTTGTCATGTGATCATTTCTTTAGATTTAGAGGCAGTTAAAGATACGATGATTGTTAAAGAAACCACTGTGAATATCAGTTGTGATTAACTTTCTGATGCCATGTGTTCTATGTCTCCTACACATGTGCATACCAGATGTCCATTTTGATCAAAATCCTTGTCTAGAATATGGTCCCTTTTAGAACTGTCCTTGCAGATTTATGCTAGATGAAGCAGTGCCCTAGATGCTGGATCGTACTGATCCCCAAAGAGTTACTTGCGTGAGAGGAAAAATGCACAGTATAGGTTAGGACAAGGTTTCTAAACTTTCGTACTAATGACATTTTGGACTAGGTAATTCTTTCTTGTGGGGTGCTGTCCTATGCACTGTAGGATGTTTATTTTAGTGGCATCCCTGTCTACCCAAAGATGCCAGTAGCTCCCCTCACCCCCAGTGTGATGGACAAAAATATCTTTAGACATTGCTGAATATTCCCTGGTGGGTAAAATCACTCCCATTTGAGAGCCCCTGAGTTAGGAGAAGAGCATTTCAAAAGACAACAGTAGTTTGTCGTGGTTAATGCAGATGAACTCATTAGCACCTTTCCAGGTAAAACCATGCAAGGGAACAAAAGGCACAAGCCTAATTCCGACGTCATCATCCTCAGTTGACTCATATAGTTTTACATTGAGTCAATGGCAAATTGAAGTTGGTGCACATTCTGCCAGGAAGGTAGAATATCATGATGCTGTTGTCAAATTAGTGGGATAGGTAAAAGAATAGATACCTGTTATTCTTCTCATCTTGTCCTCTGTATCTTCAGCCAATTTTTCTGCAGCATCTTTTAGCCATTTCAGTTTTCCTAATGTTTCTTTTGTCAGTCCTGTAGTGCTTGTCTTATGTTGAAGAATAGCATATTGTTTTTTCAGCTCATAAAACTCCTGCAACAAATCACTCCCATCATGAGAATGTATTTGTAAAGCATGTACATATGTGTGATGATTCTCCTGCTACTATCATGACAGGGATACGGAAGAGATCATAATCTAGTCACTACACTTGAATAATGATTATATTTCCATTGGGGCTTTTATTTGCATGCTTGTTTTTCAGGTTAAAAGAAATCTTAGCCTTAGTTAATTAAATAATAAAACATTATGGTAGTTAAATTTGTATGTCAACTTGGCTGGGCCTGGTTGAGTGGCTGGGCAGCTGGTGGTAGTTATTCCCCATGATGAGACTGGCAATCAACTCCATGGTGGAATCTACCACAAGCAGCTGAGTAGCTGCCTTTGGGATGTGGTCTACTTCCTGTATATAAGGAGAAGCCTTGGGGATAGTCTCTAGCTTATGTCACACTTGGACCCTGCATGTAGCTGTGTTGTTGTTCATCAGCCTACCATACTCTGCCGACCTTGGGGTTTACAATGAACTTGAATTAATTGCCTGCCGTGTGGTTTGGTAACATCAGGACTGTGCCATTTTATTTGTCGACCTTGGGCTTGTTAGCTTCAACAGCCAGTAGCTACCCGAGTAAAGAAATGCCTCTAGCTTCTGGGCCAGGAGCAAAAGGCAGAGCTGAAGCCCAAGGTCGAGGGGATTTCTCATAGCGCCTAGAGCCTGGCACTTTGAACTTGGACTTAAAGCCTCCTGAACTGTAAGAGAATAAACTCCTGTTTGTTCAAGCCATCCCATTTATGGTATATTCCTCTCAGAGTGGCACTAGGTAACCAGAGCAGAATATGGTACCAAGAGAGTGCGGTGCTTCTCTGACAGATACCTAAAATGTGGAAACAGGAGTGGAGTGCATCCTTGACCCAAGACCCTGGCAGAGAGATCCCAGCATACGGAATGAGAGATGACAGGGGCAGAGCCAAGAGACTGGCACAGAGATACTACGGTAGAGAGACCAGCATGGGAGACGGCAGTAGCAGAGCCCAGAGACTGGCATCAAACAGCAACAGGCTACCAGCCCATGGAGGAGAAAGCTGGGTGCCATTGGGTAGACAGTTTCCTGGTGGCATGGGTTGCCTTCGGGCATTAATTGGTGAAGAGACTGGCATAAAATGGAATAGCAGGTTGGCCAGCCCACGGAGCAAGAAAGCTAAGTGTCCTTTGGGCAGAAAGATTTCCAGGTGGAGTGAGTTGCCCTTGGGCATTAATAGGCAGAAGCGGAGAGACTAAGGAAACAGGAAGCAGAGCTGCCTCCACCTCAAAGGGTAGGACCATGGCCTTTGGGGGTGGAACCACCATAGCTTCCTAGGTTTCAAAGAGATAGACCTTCACCAATTTGGTTCTGGGGTGTGGGGCTGCTTGTTCATGTGAGTCAGTGGGATGGAGCTATAGCTGCTGCCCAAGAGTGAGGGGGCAGGGCTGCCATGCCCAAGAGGGAGAGGAATATGGCCCACCAGGCAAAGGGAGTGAGGTTGCCATTTAGAGGAACTAGGGGATTGGAGCCACCTAATGAGAGGGATCTGTATAGGCACCAAGTTGACAAGGGGTGGAATTGTGGTAGTTAATGTTGTGTGTCAACTTGGCTGGACCTGGTTGAGTGGCTGGGCAGCTGGTGGTAGTTATTCCCCATGATGAGACTGGCAATCAACTCCTTGGTGGGATCTACCACAAGCAGCTGAGTAGCTGCCTTTGGGATGTGGTCTACTTCCTGTATATAAGGAGAAGCCTT